CGGAGGCGAGGAAGTCCATTTGCAGCCCTTTTGCGGAATAGGAACTCGGTTCCAGCAAGGACTACTTGGGGGCTTTGCGCGGAGGTGACACGAAGGGGAACAAAATGTGGGGCGGCGGCGTTGATTTAAGAGGCGCCCCAAGTGGGCAGCCTTGGCAAGACCCCCCGAGAAGTTTTAGAGCAGCGTTTCTTAACCTTGGCAACTTTTAAGGTGGGTGGACTTCAACTCCCAGGATTCCCCAGCCAGCATGGAATTCTGGGAGGTAGTGTCCACACGTCTTAAAACTGTCAAAAGGTTGAGAAATACTGATTTAAGGAGGATCCCAGTCTCAAAAGGCCCTGGGAATGCGCAGTCTCTCTTAGCATGCAGGATAAACTTCGTTTTTCCCGGATCAAGAGGCAGATTTTCGGAGAAGAGGGACCCCACTCCCCCTTGTCTAAATATTTTGGGTTGAGGGCAAGGGGTGCAGCCCACGGGATCCATCCACTAGTGCAGGAAATGGACACCGCGTTGCCAGTGGTGAGGACGAGTCTTGCGACTTCGCCATTCAAGCTCGGATAAGCCTTTGGCGTCACGATCAATCTTGATTCTCCGGCTGCTAATTTGTTTTGACAGAGATATTTTGACAGACTTCAAGCGCGTCCCTCTCTTCCTCCCGTTCCATTTGGGTGCGATGTAGAAAAATCAAGCTGGCGACAGCACTTGGGACGCATCAATTGCTTGGATGGCAAGCGCTTCTGGGGTGGAGAGCGCCAGCCAACGCCATTCCTCGCCCAACGAAGCCCCGGGGAAGGAGAGCGCCCGCGAGGCAAGGAGCTGTCCAGCGGAATAGGAGCCGGGCGACTTTCTTTGCAGGAACCCCGAGTCACGGGAAAGAGGGAAAACGTTTTGCTGGAAAACCGGGGATCTTATTGCACGACTCGGGGACCAATTCGGGCTCCGCTCGCCTTCCTCGGGTGCAAAAGTCGGTCGCCGAAACGTGGGTCCCGCACGGGCGGCCCGTGGCTTTCCGCGTGGTCACCCATCCAGCTCGGCAGCCTCCACCCTCCACCTCCTCTGCCCCCCCCACCTCCGGCCCCACGCGCGCGAGAGGGGGCAGAAAACAGGCTCCGCGCCTGCGCCTGCGCCTGCGCGTGGAGCGCGCGGGAGGCGGGGCGCGTGCGCGTGCGCAGTGGCGCCCGCCCTGAGCGGCGTTGCTGGTGCGACCGAAGGGGAGGGAAGATGGCGGCCGGCGGCAAGGCCTCCTCCGCCTCCTCCTCCTCCTCGTCCTCGTCCTCCTCTTCCTCGGCCGCGGCCCCGTCGTCGTCCGGCACGGCGGCCTTCTCGGCGGCCTCCCCGCCGCCGCCCTCCTCCTCCTCCTCCTCCTCCTGGTCGGGGCTGGAGGCGTCGCTGGACAGGAAGCTGCAGGCGCTGAGCAACACCATGGAGTCCATCCAGGGCCTCTCGTCCTGGTGCCTGGAGAACAAGCGCCACCACGCCGCCATCGCCCGCCGCTGGATCCACTGGATGCGCCGCTGTGAGTGTGCGGGGGGGGGGCCCCGGGGTGTGCGTCCCGCAGGTGGTTCTCCCCGCGGTCCGCCCCCCTGTGAGGTCGGGGGGGCCCCTCCGTTCCTGCTCTCCGGGGGGAGCCGCCCCTTCCTGGAGGGCCGGGCGGGGGGGGGTCACCTTTGGGCGGGTAGGAAGCGGCGCCCCCGCTTGGCGCTCGCCCGGCCGAATCGATGGGCGACCGAGGGGGGCTGCCACGGGGAGGGGGAGCCCTCCTGGCTGATGCCCACCCCGGCCTTCCCCGGGGAGGAGGAGGAGGACGAGGAGCAGCAGTAGCCATGGAAGCGGGCAGCCCGGCAGCTGGAGCAGAGGGGGAGCCCCTCGGCCTGGACCACGGAGCCCCCCTCGCCTCCCCCGGTCACCCCGTGGACGTTGCCCCTGTAATGAGGTCGCTTGTGTGCCTCCCTTGCCCACCTGCCTTTGGGGCTTGCTTGGGTCCAGGAGGTGCTAAGAGACGCTGGGTGGGCCGGTGTGTGGTGGGGGCAGGTGGCCGAAGGTCGGGCGCCTGTGTGGCTTCTCTTCAGGGCTGGTTTTCCTGAAGGAAAACACCGAGGAGGAAATCAACTCCTAAGTGGGGCTGGATTGCTAAAATCGTGGGGGGCTGTTTTGCTCCCTCCCTCCCCCCAGGTGGCTGGACAGCTTGCCACTTGACAGGAAATGTTGAGCTGATGGAGAGTCCTATTTCCGGACTCATGGGGCGCATTCCTTGTCTTTTAAAAAGCCTTGTCACGCGTGAGATTTTTTTATGGCGGGGGGGGGAACCGACCTGTTTTTGTAAAGATTGTGTTGTTGTAAGCACGCAGGTGGGCCGAGCCCTAAAGTCTGCCTGCGGAGTGGTATTCCTGAACGATCCGCTCCAACGTGCTGCCCTTAATCCTAGTTGGAGATGTGACTCTCCAGAGGCCAGAAACACACCTGGAGGGCGGCAGGTGGGGAAGGCAGACCGAGATGGGCAGTATCCGTGTTTCGGTCTTTGGACAGAGAACGAAAAACAGGCGTTTTATGGAGGAGCATTAAAAACATGCCAATCTGGGTGGTGAATGAAATAGCAGTGCTGCTGTCAACAGTTCTTGGCCATTGCCTGGATGAGCTTCTGAATGGGTGCCTGACCTCACGGCTGTCCGTCCTTTCCTCTCGTCCTCCCCACTCTTCTGAATTCACTTGATTTCTCTCAGGAGTTGGAGGTGAAAAAAGATGCTTTTTCTACTCGTGTTTTCTGAATTATCTTGTGAATCCAAAAGTTGGCTTTATACGTGTATGCTTTCTCTGAATTTCTGAATGTTGGCAATGGCCCTGGTTCTAAGATTTTCTAAGAAGTTGTGGGATCCGGTGACCGGCACAAAATTATGTCTGTGAATTGGATATTTGCTTGAAATCTCACATAACGGTTAAAATATTGAAGGGCTGTGAAATGTTTGCCTTAGCTGCCACATCCCTGAGGGAACATCACCATCTGCAGCACAATTAGTAATCTCATTAATTTCACTTGGATTTCCATCCAAGGCTTAGAATCGAGGTTATAAAAATTATTGTGTCTCCATTTTCTGAAAATGGCAAATTATTACCACAGGCTACAGGTTTCCGTTTGATGTTTATGTTACTGACCACCATAAGGAGAGCATGGCAAAGCTGGTTTAAAAACTTGGTGGTGCACTTGAAAAAACCCGTATTGATGGTCTTAGATACTGGGGTGTCTGTGGCATGGAGGCTGCCCATAGAAACAGGTGATTTACCGTTGCAGTAAACTCCACAGAATGATATTTTTATGGAGTTGAAAGAACAGAGTGAAGGCCCCCTTCCATAAGGTGGAAGGAAGGACCACTGGCCAGTCTGGCCGTTCAGCATTGGTGCGAAAGCTTGCCTCTGGCCTTGTTTCCTGCGGCTGCAGAATGGGGCCATTCCGGCCGTGGCATTTCAGTGGGGAAGAACATCCTTCCCCTACACTGGCTGTGGGGTGCACCAAAGTTTTGGGCCCACCTGAACCAGCTCCTCAAGAGCAGAGCTGGCTAGAAGCACAGACCTCGCTGGGGGTGCTGAGTTCGGCCCCTTTGGGAAACATGGGTCAGCTCTGACTTTTGACGGGTGCTCAGTTGCTGACTCTTGAAGGGACACAACTGCTGTGGTTGGTGTGGTGTGGTCCCACCTTCGTTGTACCTGTTTATATTGGCTGGCCGGGGAATTCTGGGAGTTGAACTCCACGTGCCTTGAGGCTGCCAATGTGGAGATATATGCTGCCTCGCAGGGCTGTTTTTCAGAACGTCCATGCAAGATGGAGAGAGAACATGAGGCCGGAGCAGCCTGGGGAGCTGACTTGCCTTGGGCTGAACGAGGGTCGGAGCATCACCGGGTGGCTGGCTGGAAAGGGTCTCCCCTCAGGAGTCTCTGCAGCTTGAACCTTTGGAGATTTGGGGGGGGGGGTCTTGCGCCCAAACCCTCCCTGTGTCCCTTTTGAAGAGATTTGTCCTTGCGTGATGATGGGAGGAATTCCTAAGGGAATCTGTGCAAATTGCACTTTGAAATGGTAGGAGGATGGCTACAAACATCCCTCTGAAGACCACATCAGTGATTTACTATTTCTCCTATGCTGTTGATACATGGATTGTGTCATTGTTTATTTAAAGGTTTTCTTCATCCAAAAAATGACCCCTGAGTAGTTTGTGACAGACTGATTAGATAGTTCCTACCTTCAAAGACACAACACCTTTTTAAAAATGGTTGGGTTTTTTTTTTTTTTTTAATAAGTGGTTTGTTTCACACCAACTCCAAGCCAAACCCTTTGGGGCCACTGGCCATCCCTTGGCTCGTCTTATGCCTATACACAACTTCCGTTTGTTGCAGGGACGCACAGTTGGGAATCCTGACAGCCAGCTGAATAACTGACTGTCAATGCTGGCTGAGCAAGCCTGACATTGATTCCTGCATTCTCCCTCTATGAGGGTGGAATTGGTCCCCCTGTGCCTGGAGGGCACCACTCTGGGACTCAGCCGGCCGGGCCGTGAAAACGTTTTCTTTGAGGTGCCACAGAACATTTGCTGTTGGTCCCTCTTTGAGGTGGTGGGACTGAGGACCCTAGTTAAAACTTCAGGCAGTAGAAGTCGCCCAAGCGGGATAGCTTGTCCAGATGCCTTTGAACCCAACGGGGACTGAATTAATTTATCCTACGGTGACCCAGGAAGGAAGGTGGGGAGGGTCGACCAGCAGGGCAGCAGCTCCTGGGGCGCTTCAGCAGTCTGCTTGGTCCTCGCTTTGCCCAGGACTTCCGGCCCCTGCAGCCTGGCATAGAGGATGTTTTCCTTGCCTGGGGAAGGGGGCAGCTGAGGAAGGAGGGAGGGGAGGTCCCTATGGCCCAGAGAGGGTCAGCTCCTGGGAGGGGAAGCTTGGGCAGAGACCGGTGGGGGTGGCGGCAGCCAGTCCCTTTCCTTTCCTGGCCCAGTGAGACAGCTGGTGAGAGCAGAGCTTTTGCAAATGTTCAGCACCCCTTCCCCAATTCTGAGGGAGGCAGGACTTGGCGGGGCCGCTCCACAGGTCTGAGTCTCCCTAGCTGGTAATCCAGATTTTTGGAAAGGAGGAAAATAGTGAGGCAGCTCATCCCTTCACTTGGGAAGACTTTAGAAATAATTGTGTGCTCCGTGTGTTGGAGAGCGGCTGTGACTCCACCGATGTGGTCTTGAAGCTGTGAGAAGCATCCAGGCTCGCCCCAAAGGAGACCCCTTTTCCTTGGGGTTCAGGTGGGATTTGTTCTCGCTCCCGGCTCCTCTGCCCACGGAGCAGATTAAGCAGGCGGAGGGAACCCTTTTTTTGGGGTCCTGTTTGTCGCTGTTTGTCAAACGGCCTTTGGACTTGTGCAGGCGGAATTGCGCCTCCGCTTTGCTTTTGAAGGCCTGATGCTGGTGCCAGATAAGAGGGAGCGCAGCGTTTCTTGGGGGGTGGGGTGGGGGGCACAAGCCCCGCTCAGCCACCGCCCAAAGCCTCTGGTTTTGCTCGACTGCTTCCCCTGCCAGCTGGAAGAGAGCTAGTAGACGTAGGCCAGTAGGAGAGGCTGGCCTGAGAGACCTTGCGGCAGTTGTGTCAACCGGCTTCTATAATTGGTCCTCATAATTGTGTCCTCACTAATCGGAGGATAGGATGGATTGTTGGGTCAGGTTTGTCAGTAGCCTTGGAGCTTCCCTTCTGAGGGGTCACCCAGTGCAAATGGCAACCACTCAGGCCGGGGTGGTTTGGAAAGGAAGTGGGGGGGGCTCGGGGCCCCTTGTTGGGTTGGGGTCATGGATGATCTAAAGGTTCACCCTCACCCCTGGCAGCCTACCCACTGACCCAAGAAAAGCAGAGGGTCTTGGGGTGCCGGGGGCGGCCTTTCCTGATGCCCCCCTGAGCTCAAGAGAGCCCCCAAGCAGAGAAAAGCCGCCCTCTGCCCTCCCCCACCCGGGGAATCTGCAGGTGGGGTGTGTGTGTGTGTGTGTCTTTTGAAGGGGAAACAGAAGCAAATTGGTTTTTAAGAGGGGCCCAGTTTTAAAGTGACCCCCCCCCCCCAATTTGCAGCTGGGCAGTGTAGTTGTGGGAGGCGTAAGGGGCAGGGTTGAAGAGGGGGGGTTGGCCCGTCCAAGGCCAGCCGGCCAGGGTGTCATGGCCGGCCTCTGCTTCTCTTCTCCCCTCAGCCGCCTTTGCTCACCGGCTGAACCTCTTCTACTTGGCCAACGACGTCATACAGAACTGCAAGAGGAAAAACGCCATCGTCTTTCGCGACACGTTTGCCGAAGTGCTGCCAGAAGCTGCTGCTTTGGTGAAGTAAGTGGAGCCTTTTCTCTCCTTCCCATCCGGATCTGGCTGCTGCCTTGGCAGGTTTGCGTGTGAAGGTCCCTGAAAAGGCCGAAGGGTGCCGGACGGGGGGCGGCTTGACCAGGTACCAGAGGGACGGGACTGGCTGCTCGAGAGGCATCCGTGGACTCGGCCAGAGCAACCTGCTTCTCAGGAAGCGGTTGCCCTTCTTGGAAAGCTGCGAAGCTTTGGTCTACGTGGGGCTTATTTGTCCACAGTGCAAGGGGCTCTTGTTTCTTTGGTGTTTTATTGCCAGTGGCTACAATTCTCTCTGGCCACTCTTGGCCTGTGTGGCCTTCTCCAAACTCCCGTGGGAAGGGGAGCCTCGGAGGCTTCCAGCTAAGCCAGCGATAAAAGTTTTAAAACTTATATCGGAAACAGCTCAGAGGCTGAGGTCCTGCGAAGGGGGTTCCTTTTTCCTGGTGGGAGGAACTCAGTTGCAGGTAGGGTGGGTGGGCTGGCCCCTCCTGCCTGGAGACCCTGCTTTCCTGGGGGGGGGGGGTAGCGAGACGACCCCCTGCTTGAAGTCTGGGGCTGCTCAGCCCTTCCTGGCTCTTGAGTGGGACCTGGGTCGTTCTTCGCTTAGGGAAGGCTCCCCAGAAAAGCTCGTGTTTCTACCCTTTCAAATTCTCTTTTCCTTGATTACTTCGGGGCTGCAGTGATGGGGGCCAGCAGCCTAATTAGAGCTCCTTGGAAGCTGGCTTTCTTTGCATCCTGCTGCCTTTACCTTCTGCCTCTTTGGAGACCTATTCGTATGGAATGTTCTTAGGGCAACATTTGGCTTTTCTCGTGGAAGATGCCTATACTTGGATTGCATAGTTTTAACCCACATGTCATTTCTTAAGGCCCAGTGCTTTCACTGACTCCCAAAATCTCCGTGGTTTTATTTCTTTTGGAGGGGCAGCTGTGCTGACCAACATCTGGGGCCGCCTGCTTTGGTGGATGCTCTGTAAAGCAGGGGTCTCCAACCATGGCAACTTTAAGACTTGTGGACTTCAACTCCCAGAATTCCTCAGCCAGCTCCTCAGTTTGCCTGTGTTTTGCAGAGGCATCCAAAATCTCTGCAGTCAGGTGACACTACTGTAAAATTCAAATATTTTTTGGAAAATAGTGTTTTGGTAGCCCATTTTCCCTTGCTCCGAGATATAAAGCCAGCCTCAGATCAGAGCCACTGTGTTGGGTGTGTCCTTCTTTATCTTTTTAACTAATTTGAACCCTTGCCAGAATCTGAGGGCGCGTGGATTTCAGTCCTAAGATGGAATTGCTCTTTTAAAAAAAAGAAAGAAAGAAAACTGTCTCTTTGGTTCTTGCTTGAGGAAGAGAGGCATGCAACCCCCCCACCGTCCTTCTCTCTCTTGTTCGTAGAGACCCGTCCGTCTCCAAGTCTATAGAGAGGATATTTAAAATATGGGAAGACAGAAACGTGTATCCAGAGGAAACAATTGTCATCCTAAAAGAAGCTTTAAGTAAGTTCCCCTACATTTTTTCTTTTTTGTCTGGGCCTGTTGTGGGTTTGTCCATGTGTACGACAGACAGACAGACAGACAAAGTCAGGGGTGTTGGGCTTTAAGGAAACTGGGGGGACAGGAGGAAGCAAGCTCCCAATTCTTATCTCTCTGCAGTGTTGGCTGAAACTCTGCTTTGTCCCTAAAATTTATCCTCTTGAGTAGCTCATCGTCCTGAAATAGTTGAATTTATTCTGGACCTCCTCCTGGCCCTTTCTCAGTTTGTGCTTTGGAGGGAAAACACTGGGAATTTTCCGTGTCTCCATATTTCCTTCCCTTTTCACTGCTGTACTCAATCTATATCCATTTGGGGAGCAGCTCTCGAAGTTACAGCCGAAGGGCCTTTCTGGTCCTTCAAGGTGGTTCCCATCGGCCCCATTTCCTCCGAGGCACCCCAGAGTACAGCACGCAAAACCATGTTTTCCAGGTTCCACTTTCAAATCCCAGAAGCAGCAGAAAGAAACTCAGAACAAACAGCCAACTAAGTCTTGGAAGAAATCTCAAAGTAAGGAACTCTCACGTCTGAAGCGTCTGAATGTGGTAGCCAGAAGGGGGCCTAGAAGGGCCCCTCTAGAAGCTTCCAGGGGGGTGACACACACACCCCCTTCCCAATTTGGCATCCTTGGGAGAACAGCCTTTGCCGGCTGAGAGTCACTCACAGGGCAGCAGCGATGTTTCATGTGCAGCCCCAGCGGGCTAAGAGGAGAGGAAGGCAAACGGCAGGCAGGGAAGACAGTCTGTCCCTCACCCTAGGGCTGCAGTCAGGAGGGGAGCCACTTAGCGCCGGTCAGAAGCTCCGATTCCCCCGAGGGGGAAGCCGTGAACCTCCCCACCTCCCCTCTGCAGCCTCCAGCCTGAGTTGGCTCTGAGGGGCCTCCCCAAAAGGACCGCCGGGTGGCCTGTAACGCCTGGCCCAGCCCTGCAGGCAGGAGGAGGAAGAAGAGGAGGGGGCCCAGGCGGAAGTGCTGGGGACGGGGTCCCTTGTCTAAACCAGATTCCTTCCTTCCAGCCTCCACCAATCCGAAGGCAGCATTAAAATCCAAGATTGTGGCCGAGTTTCGGGTAAGTCAAGTAACGATTTGCTCACGCTGGTGGGAGGTTGGGAGGCCCTTGGGTGGCAGGGCAGCCACCTTCCTTCCCCAGGGGAGGCCACTCAACCCTTGGAGGGAGGGGCTGGCCCCTCCTCGTCAGTGGGCTTGGTGGGGTGGGAGGGGCCGGCCAGGCCGGGCTCAACCGGCTCTCCCTTCCCCTGGTGCAGCCGCAGCCGCTGGTGGACGAGCTCCTCTCCCACAAGCTCTTGGAAGACCAGATCGAGCTGAAGGAGAAGCAGCTGTCCACCATGAGGGTGGACGTTTGCAGCACCGAGACCCTGAAATGCCTAAAAGGTAAAGGCGGCAGGATATTGCCCCAGGCCCTCCGGGGGCTCCATTCCGCCCTTGGGACGTAGGGGCCGCCCTCCTGCCTGGGTCCGCTTTCGCCCCAGACGCCCCTTTCTTGGCCTTTCAGACAAAACCGGAGGGAAGAAGTTCTCCAAGGAGTTCGAGGAGGCCAGCGCCAAGCTGGAGGAGTTTGTCCACAGCCTGGACAAGCAGGTGAAGAACGGCCCTTCGCTGACGGAAGTGCTGGAGAACGCCGGCATCTTCTACGAAGCCCAGTACAAGGAGGTCAAGGTGGTGGCCAACGTGAGTCTGCAGGAACACCCACACGCGCACGCACACACACACACACCCCGTGTCAAGGTGCCTCTCCCGGTGTGGCCCAGCCCTTGGGGGGGGGTTTGGGGGGGGCGGTCCATCGAGCTTCCTCCCCTTCTGTCAGGCTGGCAACGAAAGGCGAGCCGCACGGCCACCGTCCTCCGCGGCCGGAGCAGGTGTGGTGGGGGTGTGCCTGCCTTGGGCCACTGCAGGTGGGCTTTCCGGGGGCGCCAGAGACGGGCCTCCTCCCTGTTGCCAGCTCAGGGGGTTTCCTCCCCCGCATGGCCCTGAACTGGCTTCCACCAGGGACGCCGCGCCTCCCTTTGGCCGGCTGTGGCGAGGAGGCACCCCTGCCCCTGACTGGTGGGCTCTGCTTCCCTCCCTCCCTCAGGCTTACAAGACTTTCGCCAACCGGGTGAACAACCTGAAGAAGAAACTGGACCAGCTCAAGGCCACCCTCCCTGACCCAGAGGAGTCCCCGGTCCCCTCGCCCAGCATGGACGCCCCCTCCCCCACGGGCTCCGAGTCCCCCTTCCCCGGGATGGGGGAGGAAGAGGCTGCCCCCTCGCCCAAGGCGGAAGCGGCCAAGTCTCCCTCGCCAGAGCTCGCCACCGACAATCGGGACGTGGAGGACATGGAGCTCTCCGACGTGGAAGACGAGCCCCCCAAAATTATTGGTAGGGTCCCCGGAGCGGGGAGGGGAACCGGCTGGGAGGTGGTGCTGCTGCTGCTTCCCCTGGGCACCTGGGGGCCGGTTGAGGGGGGAGGGTCGCGACACGAGGGGCAGGTTGACAGCCGGGTGTAAGCGGAGGTTGGTCTTTCCAGCTGCAGAACATCTGCCTGGGTGTCCCAGAGGCCACGCATGTGTTGCGGGGGGGGGGGGGGGCATTTTGTCTCTGGCGGGGAAAGGCTTCCTAGGTCGGCTGCGGCTTCCTCCCACCTCGGACTCGGGGGCACCCTCTCCGTTTTGGTCCACAGTCTAAACCGGCTCAAAGCCCCACTGCTTTTGGGGGGGACGGGGGGCAGTTTGTGTGTGTGTGTGTGTGTGTGTGTGTGTTGGGGTTTGATTTGCAGGCTGTCCAGCAAGGCTTCAAGGACGTGCCTCTTTTGTCTCCCGGATTAGTGGAAGAGAGAAAAGAAAAACCGGCGCCTTCTACCCCGGCCCCCACCAAGATGCCCGAGACCACCCCCAAGGCTTCTCCGCTGATGGTGGCCACCCCGGCAGCTGCTGCAGCCTCTGGAGCGCCCCCAGCGGCTGCATCCGTGCTGGCGCCTAGTCCCGTCACTCCTCCGGCCCCCAAGCCAGTGAGCCAAACCCCTCTTCCTTCCTCGCCTGCTCTTCCTTTGCCGAACCTGGCCAACGTGGACCTGGCCAAGATCAGCTCCATCCTCAGCAGCCTGACTTCCGTCATGAAGAACACAGGTGAGGGAGGGGGGAGGGAGGCCAGGGGGCCCCAGATGGGCTGCGAGGGGGCTGCCTTCCTCCCACCAGACAGACTCAGCCGGGCTGGGTTTCCAGGGAGTTTGCAGGTGGGCTTGTTTTGCCAGGAAAGAAGGATCACCTGTGAACAGGTGGGAGGGTGGAGCAGTCTGGGAGGGGAGGGAAGAACCACGAAGGCACCCTCGGTCCGGGCTCAGATCCGCCGCCTTCCTGCCAACCTTGATCTTCCCTGTGTTTGTGGGGGTCCCTGGATGCTGGGCAGAGGGTCTCCAGCCAAGACTGGCTTCTGCCTCCGAAATGGCTCATCTCTGCCCCGGTCTCTCCCTCCAGGGGTCAGTCCTGCCTCGAGGCCTTCCCCCAGCACCCCAACGAGCCCCTCCTCTCTCATGGGCGGCCTGAAGACCCCGGGGACGGGGCCCCTGGCGGCGTCCCCCAACCCCTTGGCCAGCATCCTCTCCAAAGTGGAGATCACCCCGGAGAGCATCCTGTCCGCCCTCTCCAAGAGCCAGGCCCAGGCCGCCCCAGGCCTGCAAGGTAAAGCATATGGGCTTGCCCCTCCCCCTGGGTCACATGACCGCACTCGGTTCTGGGTTTCAGGAAAGCCGGCCCGCCAGGACCCTCTGGCTCCTCCTACGGCCGTGGTGGAAGACTCCCTGGAAGGTCCGATTAACGAGCTTCTCTTTTGCCCCAGGTTTGTCCTCATTTCTCCAGAGCGTTGCTGGGAATCCGGGCCAGCCCAACGAGACGGCCTCCCAGAGCACGTCTCCGGCCCCCGCAACCCCCCCGGCGGCTCCTGGGAAGGGGAGGAGCGTCCTGTCCACCACGCAGCCCTTCCTGCCGCAAAGCCTCGGCTACTCTCCGAATTCCTCCTCTTCGGGCGAGGTTTCTTCCACCTCGGTCAACAAGATGCCCTCCGGACAGGGCCCGGGGCTCTCCGGGTCCGGCTTCAAGCCCGCCATCAACTCCCTGGGCTTTGGCAGCTGCCAGGCCCCCAGCCCATCCCTCCGGCCCGTTGAGGCTCCAGCCCCTCAGTCTTCGGAGATCTCGGAGGCCAAGATGGAGCCGGAGCCCACTTCGCCCAGCCTGGAGATGAAGATCCACAACTTCCTGAAGGGGAACCCGGGCTTCAGCGGCCTGAACCTGAACATCCCCATCCTGAGCAGCCTGGGCTCCTCCAGCCTGCCGCCCGAGAGCCACTCCGCCTCCTCTCCGGATTTCAGCCGAGGCCCCACCAGCACTTCGATGGACAGCATAGACGGCACCCCGGTGCGCGACGAAAGGAGCGGGACGCCCACGCAGGACGAGATGATGGACAAGCCGTCCTCCAGCAACGTGGACACCATGTCGCTGCTCTCGAAGATCATCAGCCCCGGCTCTTCCACCCCGAGCAGCACCCGGTCGCCCCTCCAGGGCCGGGAGGACAGCTACCCGCAGGAGTTGCCCAACGCCGCCTACCGGCCTTTCGGTCTGAGCCGGGATTCCCCTGCCGGGATGTACAAGCCGCCCCCGGATGGGATCGAGCTGCCCTCCTCGCTGATGGACTCCCCCCAGGAGAAGTTCTACCCCGACACCTCCTTCCAGGAGGACGAAGATTACCGCGACTTTGACTACTCCGGCCCCCCACCCTCCGCCCTGGTCAACCTGGAGAAGCAGCCGTCCAAATCCATCCTGAAAACGGGTAAGCTCCCCGACCCCTCGGAATACCCGGCGGCTATGCCGAGCTACCGGCCGAGGCCCTCAGGGTTCGGCCTGAAGGCCCCTTTCCCCCAGCCCGGCCGGCCTCTGCACGACCAGAGCGACGGCTGCGACCCTCTGCCCTCCACGGGGATCTACGGGAGCTACACCCGGCGGGGAAACGACTCGGGCTCGGACGCCTCCCCGACGCCCAGCAAGAACGACGCCTTCTTCCCGCCGGATTCCAACCACAGCGGCTTGCCTAAGTCCGCGCAGCAGCAGCAGCAGCAGCACTCAGGGCTGTTGCAGAAGCAGTACCCCGACTCCCCCCTGGGGGCTCCCCGGGGGTCCCTTTTCTCACCTCAAAACGCCCTCCTGAGCCCCACCAGCCGGCTCCCCACCTCCAACGTGGAGAAGTCCCTCCTCTCCTCCATCTCGGCCACCTCCACCATGGAGTTCAAGAATATGCTGAAAAACGCCTCCCGGAAGCCCTCGGAGGAGGGCAAGCACTTCGGCCAGGGGCCCAAGGGGGGCGCCAGTGAGGTGCCCGGCCTTTCCCCGGGAGGGGAGCCCTTGAAGCAGGCGGAGGAGCACTTCCGCATCGAGACCAGGGTCTCCTCTTCCTGCCTAGACCTGCCCGACAGCACGGAGGAGAAGGGAGCGCCCATCGAGACGCTGGGCTACCACAACATGGCCAGCCGGGGGATGTCCGGGGAGCCCATCCAGACGGTGGAGTCCATCCGAGTCCTGGGGAAGGGCAGCCGGGGCCACGGGCGAGAGGCCCCCCGAACAGGCTGGTTCGAGATGAGCAGTGCGGGCGCGACAGAGATGCCCCCCCTGGGATCCGGAGGCGGCGGTGGGGCCGTGCCGAGCTTCCCCAGCCAGTACAAGGAGCGGCTGGGCTCGTTCCAGGAGAGCGTTAGCAACTTCCGGGCCGGGGGCTTCGCTGCCCCCTTTGACCGCCACGTCCCACCGCCTCCCCTGGAGCACGGGGCTTCCTTCCCTAGAGACCAGCTGGGGCCGCCCCCCTCGGGCCCTCAGGCCCTCCCGCCGAAGGACCTCAGCCCCCTCTTCTCCAGAGATCACTCGGGGCCCCCGCCACGGATGCCGGCAGTGGGCCGCACCAGCCCCTTCTCCAAGGAGGCCTCCTCCCCGCTGACGATGCCTCACGGGGTGCCCCCTCCCCCCCCCCCGCCCCTCGCGCGGGGTGGGGTGCCCTTCCCCCCCCCAGCCGCCCCCTCCTCTCCCGGGGGAACACGGCGGGGTCCCTCCGTTCTCCAGCCCTCCCCCCCCTCCCGGAGACCTGGGCCTCCCCTTCCCGGGGCCCCCCCTGGCTGCCGAGCACGGGGGCCTCCACCAAGGAACGATGAAGGAGCATTTTAGCCTGCCGCCAGGAGCCCCCCGGGATCCAGGGCCCCAACCTCCGTGCGACCACAGCGGTCAGCCCCTGGGCCGGGCTCGAGAGGGCCTGGGCTCTGGCCTCTCCGTGGGCTCCTCCCTGGCCGCTCAGCGGAACGGCACAAACCGAGGTGGGCTGGGGCTCAGGAACCAGCGGCCGGATTTTAGACCCCGGGAATTCTTCTTAAACCGAGACCCCTTCAACAGCCTGAAGAGGCCCCGGCCCCCCTTCGCCCGCCCACCCCCCTTCTTTGTACCCAAACGCCCCTTCTTCCCCCCCAGGTACTGAGCGGAGAAGCGGTGGCCGAACTCTCCCGAGCAGGGCAAGGGGCGCCTCCCCGGTCCCCCTGCCCCCCCCCCCACCCCCCCCCCCCCAGACCGAAAGGGCCCCGCGGCTGGAGGGAGTTCCTCTGCCGCGACATACGTACATTATATATATATATATATACATACACACACACACACATATATATATATATATATATTGTTCTGTTTGTTTCTTGACTTTCTTTTCCTCCGTGATTGGCCTCCGTAGCGGGGAAGGGAAGCTTACATTTTTTTGTTTTTTCTTCCTGCAAAAATAATTTTAAAAGTTAATCCTAAACGTGGTTGTTGACAATAAAAGCTTTCCGAAGTGACTAAATTAAATTAAAATGGGATTTATTTTTAAGATTGGAGCTCCTAGAGAAGGAAAGCGGGATTTAAGCAACCGCTCCCCCCCTCCCCCGTCACCCCTCCAGTAAGCAGTCCCCCAGAAGCGGACCCCCCCCCCCCCCCTCCCCCCCCCCCTTCTCCTCCTGCCTCCGTTTCCCTCTTGTTGGTTCTGCTTCTCTTCTGGCCCCTCCTCTTCACTGGGTCCATCGCGGGAGGCTCTGCCCGCCTCCCCCTCCCTCCGTCTAATCTGTCTTTCTTTTTTTAACAGTCTTTTAGGTTTTTGACCGTTCTCAGGCATGTCTCCATCGCTGAGGGCCAGAATTCTCTGATGGACTCAATGGCTTTTGCCTGGTCTGGAGACAGGAGACCGGAAGATGGCCGTAGCCAGGCCCTCCTCCTCTGCCTTTCCTTGGGGTGAGGGGGCTTGTCGCTTGTGGGAGCAGAACGGGGGGGGAGGGGGGGGAGAGAGAGAGCAGGACAGGGCAAACCCACCTTCTCCCCCTCCCCAGACCAGGTTTTGCTTGGTTGGAGGCCTCTGTTCCTCCTTCCCCTCCAGAAATGTTAGGAATGGGCTGGCTTCAGTCAAGAGGTCGAAGCTGCTGATTGAGAAGGAAACTCATCTCTCCCTCCCTCTTTACACCGCCCTGGGACCAAGAGGGCCTCCTCTGAAAGGGTTGGGTGCAGGTAGCAAGTCTTGTCTTCTTCGAAAGGAAGGATGCGCGGGTGCCACACCTGCGTGTTTGTGTGGAAAGCCCACCCAACCCGTCCCCCTCAAAGGCATATGCAGATAAGGGTCCCCCCACCGAAGCATTCTGGAGTTGGCGCTCTCTGTTTTAAAAGAGCTTTTCTCCTCTCCCTTCTGTTTTCTCCTTCCTTTCTTTATGAACATGCCCCCAAATCTCAAACTCCCTTAATATTGTAGCTTTCCCCCTCCCCTTTAATCAACAGGAAATCCAGTATATTAATACAGATATACTTCAGTTGTGCCAGATTGCACCTGTATTTCAGCACTGGTGTTTACAAGAAGATGTACAGTTTTGTTACACTGAGGGGATTTCAGAATTCCTGGATTTATTTAGATCCCCCCTTTTTCCTGTTGTAAGCCTGGGGAATTCTTAACACTGACTTTTCTTTTTTTTAAAAGCAATTTTCTCTTTGTTTCTCCTCGTATGAAGTCAGCTTCCCGTAGCCAATATTTTGCAGTTGGTTTTTTTCTAAGTCAAGCATCTTGGAAAAATTGAACCCATTAAGAGTCTTGTTTCTCATAGCAATAGGGGACTGTTATTTATATGTCAATGTTTTGAGGTTTGTAGTAGGAAACAGGTTGATTTTTCAGTTCTGTCCTAAGCTAATTTTACCTGTCTGTTGAATGGGTGCATCATATCCACCCCTTCCCCACCTACGCGGTCTGGAGGTTCTGGGAGTGGGGGGCTCCTATAACTGGCTTTAGTTTGTGTTTTCCCCTGCCCCCTAGTTTGGGCCTGGTACTTTCCTGGAAACAACACCCCCTCCCCCCAGTTTTCTCATGCAGCTCAAGAAAACCAGCAATGTGGCTGGTCTGTACAGCTCTGCTTTACTGCATGACTGCGGCACTCCTGATGCGGGCTTCAGCTTTTGGGGGACGGGGAGAGGAGCCCATTTATGCGCTACACCAACCCATCCAGGCCAAGAGGTTCCCAGCCCGACACAGGTTCACGGTTGGCATCTCTGGCTTCCGGATTGAAACGGCTGGATGCCAGATGAGCAAAAGCAACTTGCTGTCCCTCACTGCGAAAACACCCCCCCCCCTTTCTCCTGGCAGTTTTGGAGATCTTTGGAGCATGGTGGGCTCTTGTGACTCGGATGGGTTAGTCCAAAGGGCTCCTGGTCCTTAAAATTGCCACCCCAAAATAGAGGACCTTTGGGGGCAATTGGCAGGAATAGAATGGAAAAAGTTGGCAGCTGGTGAAAAAGACAAAATGCTTTAATGGTAAAACTGTGTCTTCTACCCCCTCCCCCCTCCCCCCCCCCGGGGGTCACTTTTCCTTTGTCCCCTGGTTCTGTGCTTTCACTTTAAATCGTTCAGAGTTAACGGACGGGCAGCAAACGTTCCTACGCGGGGAGAGTAGCAAAACAAACCAAGTTTCTTTGGAAGGAGGGGACGCTTCCTGGTCTGGCACGTTTTGCTTTTGCTTCGCTGTTTCTTTTGTATTTCACTTGGGGGGTTTTCACAGAGAACCACCAGCGTCTGTGGGAAGGAGCTGAGAGGCAGGAGCCTTCAAGGGAGGTTTTATGAAGGTGGGGAGAGCAGGTCTCTTTGGAGATCACATGAGGGGGGGGGGG